TCTAGAATAGGCTAGAATGAGGTGTTGAATCATGCTGGGAACCTGCTGAGAACGTGAACTGATGAGTTGGAGAGAAGCATGTGCTGAACGTGATTGGAAGGATCTGGAAGGATGACCTGTTGCTGGAGTTTGTTGCTGGACGTGTGAACTGGAGAGAAACTGGAGAATATTTCAACATATTTCTTAATCTGGCACTGCATTGATAACGTGTCCAGTGTAAATACTTTAGAGAATCACACATGCATTAGTAAATCCATTCTATTGATTTGGAGTTAAGAATGGATTTTAAATGAACGGATTCAAATAATTTATCTGAAATTCTAATGCTTAAAACATTTATTGGTTGTACGGGTGGATTTAGAGAAAAGATTTTGAATCCATGGAACTGGGACCTCTCCTCCTCTCTCTCTTCAAGAGGGAAACATTAAATTCTAGCCTACAAAGAAACGAATCCGCAATACCTACGGTCTCACTGTTACCCAAAAAGGGACAAAGAAAAACAGATGTTACAGTTTATATAAATCAGAGCAAGCTGCCCAATTTCCCCAGTCAAACCTGGTAACAGGAAGAAATCACATTCGTAATCAAACATATGAGATTGATAACCAACATAGATACCTGTGAACCAAAGAACTGTATCAAAAATTTCAACATTTTTTATTTTCAAATTCAGAAAGTACGGAATGCCCATAGTTATTCTGTATTTAAGGAAAATTATTAAGAAAACAAAATTTTATGCACAACCTTGTTGCTAAAACATGTTTAACAGAGAGTAGGGAAATTGATCAGTTATATATAGACAGACACTTGTAATGAATTGCGTAGGCTCCCCCCGTGTGTGCATGTGTGTGTGTTTCAGAGAGAGAGAGAGTGATTGATGAAATGTCTATAGGTATCATCAGATTCGTGCATTAACTTTGTGTTGCATGGAAAATACGTGGCATGGACACGACACACCGATACGTGATTTTTTGAAAAAGAATGACACGATATGTCAACTTAAATTCTTTAAAGTTTAAAATTTATATATTATATCTTTATTTTTAAACTTTTTAGTATAGGATCCCTACTAAAGTATCCCTGAGCGTTAGAAATTTAAAGAATATATAAAAAATTGAAAGAATATATAAAAGAATAAAGCTGCTCAGACAGGGTTGGGGACATGGTTTGGATACAGGTGCTGCGTGGTTCCTTTTTCTTTTTTGACCATCCAGTCATTACGCGACACGTGTCCCCCTGTTTTTAACCCTGTCACCAACCCTTTTTTTGTAGCATTTCTGTATATAAAAATAGGATGGCACGTGTCTTATTGGACCCAAGTCATGGAGTGACAGTACGGGTCGAACACGGACATGCCGTTCTAGTAGAAGTGTCCATGCATCACTTTTATAGTTAGTAGAATTATTTGAAAAGACATTAAGTGTAGATGGATTTGAAATCGTTCACAATTCGGAAATCCATTAATGTTTGGAATGGATTTGAAACCAGTAGGGGCAGTGGAGATCAACTGCAAAAGACTTATGGTATCAATGGAATTTCATTTGCCCAAACAGATTCTCTTGAAATGTCAGTCAAGTATGACCTATACTTCAGAAACCTCATTTGTTAAACTTCTAATTTCCCCTATGGGCGTTGGTTAACTACATCAATGGCCATTCAGTGTTTAAAATACCATGTTCAATGTGGTCTCATTCTATCTCCGTTCTGTCATGCTCAACTTGATAGGAGTGATTATCCTCATCATGGTTCACTTTTTAGTATTTGCTGTGGAGGATTGTACTCAACTCAAGTCAGTCTGATATTTAATTTTAACTTTTCCATGTCAATGATAATGTCAACAAATCTCTTATCGTTCACTTTCTCCTCCCTTTTGTGTCTTTGTCATAACTATATGTTCAAGGATTGTGATGTAACACGAGTCTCACAGGATTGGCTTCATAACAACTGGAAAGCTGAATGAATTTAACTGTAAATGACTCGGAACACGCAATGCTAAAAAACTCCTGGTGGCTTCAGCTCATCTTGTCCTCCCAAAAGAGTATAAGATAATAAACAAATTCATTGTGCTGTCGTTTGGACCACCCAATGTTACATTGATAAGAAGGCATAAAGTTACATAGCGGGCTATAATTCTAGGTTCAAATTGTTCTATCGGTCCTTTATGTACAGTGTCACAGTGAAGCGAGTGATGCTTAGTAGTATCCTCACTGTTTTATCAGAAAGCAAGGCAGCAACAAACATAAATTTCGTTACTCACTATTTTGTCTGGAGATACTTTATGTGGTTGCTTCCTGGGCAAAAAGGCTGTTGTTCCAGGAGCCTTGGCTTGTATTCTACGGTAACTTGGACTTCTATAGTCAATTCCCTTCTCCAACAATAGCACACTTTCAAACGCTTCGAGAGTGACTTCTTTATGGTGCATTGTCTTTTCCTCTGAATTTTCTTAACGGGAATTATTTCTTTATGCCAAAGGGAAACCTTCTCTTTATTATTTTTGGGTTGAGTGGGAGGTCTGCTAGGGAGCAGCTTTAGGTAATACTTCACCATTTCATTGCAAAATTCTTGCTTACTTCTCAGCCCCCTTGCTTCCTCTCCTTTGATAAATAGTGTCAAACTCATGCTTGAGGATTCATTAACATTACAAAGCAGATGCTGCGTGTTCTAAATTATTTGGCAGACGTTGGCTGAAGTGTGGTTTCACTGCATTGATGCTGAGTTCCAGCCCAGTGTTGAGATTCTTCCGTCACTATATAATGGTCGTTTTTATTCCTCTTGCCGGAATATAATTATGCTAAAGTCCTATTACATTTTCTGTTGATTTCCTTGTGCTAATATTTTCCTTTTCCAAAAGATCAAACTTATGCTGCTTTTCATGATGAGGAGTGGGGAGTTCCAGTCCACAATGATAAGTATGTACTCCTTGCGCTATGTCGCTTTCTGACTTGCAGCCTCCACTTTTAAAGCAACTTTGTTTGATAGCTTTCCCGTTGTTCATTTCTCTTTTTTTGACAATGTGCAGGAAACTTTTTGAATTGCTGAGCTTTTCTACTGCGTTGGCTGAACTAACTTGGCCCGTCATTCTTAATAAAAGGCATATATTTAGGTATTTTTAGCTGTTTCTGTGATGATTTTGATAATAATGGATTCAACAATTTGGTATTATTTTTCATGAGCTTTCATATTGCTGGTTCAATGTGTCCATATATGAATGCAGAGAAGTCTTTGTGGACTTCGATCCGATTGCAGTCTCAAAATTGAATGAGAAGAAGATAGCATCACCAGGAAGTCCTGCAAGCAGTCTTCTGTCAGAACTAAAGCTTCGATCAATTATAGAAAATGCACGTCAAATTTGTAGGGTATACCCTGACTTTTTTTCTTTTTTTTTTTTAATTTTACAAATTGCAAAATTACAGTTTTCTTTTCACGTCTATGTTTTATTAATATTTAAGGGGATGGTGAGTGTTGCCTTTTCATCCTTAAAGAAGCAGCAAAAGGACTGAAGATATTAGTTAGTGTGGAAAATATGGTGATGATAATATTAGTTTCTATATATTACGAATCCCTATGGCTTTGATTTTTCGCATTTGAAGTGTGATCGAGTACTCAAATATAAATTTAATATCAATTTACGTTTCTGCCATATTTTTAATGAGCATGTATACATGACAAGATGAGGCGAGTATTTATCATATTCCAAATATATTGAAAGTTATACAGCATATAAAATAAAATGACTAATTAGTTTACCATTTATATGTATCTTCCACTTCAAAGGGTAATATAATAATAATAATAAATAAATAAATAAATAAGAGAGATGTATGTTCAAATAATCGATTATACATTGGTGTGTTTAACTGAGGCATTTAATATGTGGCAGAATTGTGTTTATTAGCAAAAGATGGTAGTGTGAAAGTTTTAAGCTCAGCACCTAAAATGCAGTTAATCAATCATATACTAGTCTCATATTTCTGTGCTTTCTTCTGATGCAGATAATAAATGAGCTTGGGTCTTTCGAAAAATACATTTGGAGTTTTGTGAACTTCAACCCCGTAACAGGTAATTTTCGCTACCCGCGACAGGTTCCAATCAGGACATCGAAAGCTGATACCATAAGCAAAGATTTGGTGAAGAGAGGATTTCGAGGAGTTGGGCCTACAGTGGTTTACTCATTTATGCAAGCAGCCGGAATCACAAATGATCATCTCATCAATTGTTATAGATATCAGGAATGTATAGCTGAAGGTGGTGTGTGGGAGAGGGACGAGGGCCTAAAGGCGAAGATTGAAGAGAAACAACCCGAAGACGTTGCTGAATTTGAGCTAGCTAGAGCTATCGATGACTTTAGTTTATTGACTTAGTATTTGTCAGACGGCTTTTACTCCGTTTTATCGCAATGGTGTGATGTGAAGGGATATTTTCCCACACTCGAATCGCCATCGCCCGATGGCTGGCAGGAATTTATGTACAAATCGTTATGAATATTGTATTTATTTTCTGTGTACATTATATGAAGAGAATTTGCCTGCGGAAAATGATGTTCGAGATCCGCAATTACTGCAAAAAATATTCTTCAATCTGTTCAATGTGGAATCATTATCATTTTTTTATTTTCCTTTACATTTGTACTTTCTAGGATAATTCTTGCGTTTGACGAAGAATTGGGATATTTCTAGTAAAAGAAGACTAATCCAAACTTGTTTACAACTCTTTGGTTCTTTTTGTCAGCATGAATTTGCATCAATCGATTCACTTAAAGCTTTCAAATAGTCAAATGACCAAACAGGCACTCTTCATTTGACCATCTGCCTTTCAGTCTATTGACGAAATTTTCCAGAAATGGCAGCTGCAAGTGCTGATTTGAAGCTGGGATCTTTAGTCAATGTAGAAGCCATTTGTTCCACCAAAAACTGTTGGAATTCTGGTGTATTAACTTTGCTGCTCGAATTACTCACATCGTAGCTCGTCTTTTGTCTTGTTAGATCAAGAGTAATTGACGGGGCAGACGAGCTAAGAGAGTTCGAGCAAGGGACCGAGCTAAGTGTCACATAACGGTTTGAGCCCGAAGTCATCTCAAGCTTGGACACTTGTGGATGGTTGTGCTCCCCTTCATAAGTTGCAACTAAAACGGATTGATCCTCTAAACTTCTTTGAACCTGCAAAAATAATGAAAGGAGGTTTATAAGCTAAATGAACATAATGTTTGACATAGTGGTTGACCGACCACTCATATTGCATGTGGGTCCCAACCTGAATTAAATAATGCTGACCTTTCCATGTGTGTGTGTGTTGTGTCGATGCCCTATGTCAAGCATTATGTTTATGTAGCAAAACTAATTAAAAAAATTACTTACACCCAAGCTCTCACTTTACTTGTAAATATTGTATTGCATGTTTGGTGCGTAATATTAGATTCGACCAGAATATATTAGACAATATTATAGCTAAAAACTTGTTCGTTATATTGTATAGTTGTATAATATACCAAACATGTCCCTGATGAGAATAAATATTCAAACTTAGCTTGAAGTTACGACCTAAAGAAGGGATCTTCTCTATG